CTGACAATGCTCGTCTATTTGGTTATGAAGGATGGAGGTATTTGACACATTTCATATGTTTACTTATTGTGCTATTAAGTAGCTTTTATTGTTTAGATTTCCTTGGGAAAGTGCTAGAACTGGTGTAGATGTTACACCAGATTGTTGTCCTGAAGTTCGTCTCTATCAAATGCATATTACAGGAGATATTGCATTTGCAGCTAGACAATATATTGCAGTAACAGGTGATCAAGATTGGCTTTTGAATGAACTTGGTGGAGAACTTATTTATGAGACAGCTCGATTTTGGGGTTCGAGAGCTGTATACAATAATGAGAAAAAACAATATGAAATATTAAGTAAATATTTGTGTTTCTGAAATGAAAATATTTTCATACTTTCAACAATCTCTAATATTGTCATATAACAAATTCATACATATGTATTCTTTTATTTTAGCTGTTTTACCACCAGATGAAGATGCTCAACCATATAAAAATAATTCTGTTTTTACTAATGCAGTTGCTTCACTTTCTATTCGATTGGCTAATAGTGTTAGTTGCATTACTAATAAAATGCTGCCTCAATCTTGGCTTGATATTGCATCGAATTTACATTTTCCATTCGATAATTCAACTCAAAATTATCTTGAATATGAAGGTTTTGACTTGAGTGAGTGTATGAATGTAAAGAAAATTTTTATTCGAAAAAATTAGTTTGATCTATTTATTAAGAAAATACAACTATTAAACAAGCTGATGTTGTTCTTCTTGGATTTCCACTTATGTGGCCAATGACTGATCAAATAAGACGAAATGATTTATTAGCCTATGAACCTTTAACTCGTGCTGATGGTCCAGCTATGACTTGGTCAATGCATTCGATTGGCTTTATTGAATTAGGTGATTTCGATAAAGCTGAACAACTTTTTCGACGTTCTTATGAAACTTATGTTCGATCTCCATTCAATGTTAGTTAGTCAATTTTTTCAATATTGATATTGACGTTGAATTACTCTCTGTTATGTTTATAGGTATGGACTGAAGCTCAATCAGGCGTTGGTGCAGTTAATTTTATAACAGGTGCTGGAGGTTTCTTACAAGCTGTTCTTTTTGGTTATGGTGGTATTCGTCTAACATTAGATCAACTTGAATTTAAACCTCGTGGTCATCTACCAAATCAAGTTACAAAATTTATTTTTCATGGTTTGAAATATCAAGGAACTACAATTGATTTGACAATTGACAATGATATGTATGAAATTTTTATACGTGCACAGAATATCAACAATTCCGTTCCTCTGTTATACAAGCAAGGAGAGAATAATGGTCCACTCAAATTAAATGATCGTCTCTCATTTCCAATTGACACTCATGTTATTATACGTCGATTGGTACCTCTTTGTCCTTAATTTTATATTTTTATTTTTGCTTTGGAAAATAATTTTTTTATTTTCTATAATATATCAGCCAAAATTGAATCGTTATCATGATGATTTATTAAGGTGTTTCGGATATCGATGAATAATAAAAATCATCAAAATCTTTAAAATAATATTTGAAATTAAGGGAAATTATTAATATGTTCAAATTTATTCATTAACCAAATTAAATCATTATGCTGTTTACTTGGTTTGTTTTTTCAAAAAAACAAAAAACAAATATATAGAGATAATTCTTTTTTTAAATTTCTTGTGGTGTAAGGGCAACCCATAAAATATCTTAGAAATTTACTTCTAGTGTCTCAATAGCTTCAAGAAATTTATTGAAAATTGAATTATTTTAAAAAATGTGACTTCAATTTCTTCAACAGAAACTATGGTAACTTCTATACCTTTTTACTGATATAGTTTTTCTATCGGAAAAGTTTCTAAAATTAGATTATTTGAGAGGAAAATTGATGTTTTCGGAAATCTGAATACTGTTATTTCAGAGTATACAAAACACTATTCCATGTAATACAACTAATAAAAATTTGGTTTCATCGAAGTGTTTTGTGAAAGTGACTGGTCTATGAACAGAGTATCCCACAAGTCCATTGGGAAAGTGTTAACGTAAATATCTCTTCTACAATTTAAAGGATTTTATTAATTTTTTTTTATAGTATGTTAGTATGTTCTTATCGTTTTCATATAATTTAGTTTATAACAAATGTTCAAACTGACTACCGTTAACTGAAATACATTAATCCAACCATTTCAAAATATTAAACAAAAAAATATTATACACTGTCTTTTTTTGAAGTCGATTGAATATATCTATTGATTTTGTTTTTCAATTCAGTCTTATCTTGGATAAGAGCTTTGTAAACATTGTTTTCCTTGTGTGCCCATAGAACAAAAATGAGAAGTGTTAAATCTGATGAATGTGAAACTTACCTAATTGGACCACTTCTCTCTATGATCTATTATGAGAACTCTTTCCCAGAAATGATCGTAGGATGCCTGCAAAATAGGAAAGAGTCAAGGGATGTCATAGTATCCATAAATTGGATATCGTAATTCAAAACATAGCTATTAGTACATTCATGTAATGAATTCTTGGTACACATATGCCACCAAACTAACGATTTTGATTGGAATTAGTGTAACAGGATGAATATTCAACTCCGTACTGATATATGTCAAGAGTTCAGAAAATTGGAGTAACAGTGTCAGACTTATATCTCACACCCATGGATTCATACTTCACACTGACACCAAATTCACTCAAAATGCTCAACTCTGCTGACAAATGGATGCCGATTCAGGTATCTGCTTTGTTAGACATCGTAACTGGTAGCTCATCGTTCCTCAGTATATGGTTATCATGACATCGCTGGAAGAGCCCCCATCTTATTGAAATATTATTTAGCGCACCTTGTGTAGTAATTTTACTTCTAGAATAAAGAAGGATTGCCGTTGTCAACTGATAAGTTTTGAATAATCCATAACAGTTTCAATAGTTATGTGTGCATTACTTTCACACCATAATAAGTGATGTTTTGTTTATTGACCAATCCATTTAATTGGAATACAGCTTTGTCAGAAAAAAAGGCTTTCTTTAATGCTACTATCTTCTAACATTGATATCATCATTTCGCACATTTCAACTCTATCTTGTAAATATTCTGCATAGATTTCTTGAATAAATTGCACGTTGTACTGTTTGAATGGAACGTATTCAGTCATAATTTTGTACGCTCTTGTTCGTGAGTTGAAACAGGCTGTTGTGACAACTCGAACACTTGATTGCAGTTCATCTTCATCAACATCATGAACTTTGCCGACTTTTTCATCTGCAATCTTTGACGGTCTTCCAGTATATTTTTGATCTTTCACTATATAGTTTTACGAAAATGTTCAAATGTAACTTCAATACAATCGTCATTTGGTGTATTTTGGTCAAACTCGAACTGCCGTATATGTAACTTATCACTTGAGCACAGTAATCAATTAGTTTTCTAGTTAATCTTATTATGAAATTGCTTGTCGAACATTTTTTGTATGCCTTCTACGTAAAGTACGTAACAGATTAATAAAATATCATTAAAAACTAGTAAGGTTGTGAACCTATCAATATACAGTAGTCGAAATTGTTTGGGTAGAAAAGGATAAAGCCATCGTTAACCACTAAACACTGCTGGTAAATTTTTCAGCTATATGATCGATATACAACTATTTAATCATCGGTTTCTTGTATGGTTCGAATCGTTTAATGCATGAATAATGCTGTTTCTTCGTTTTGGACACACTCTGAAAGTGGATTATCGGAAAATTGCAACTTCCAAGTTATTTTTGGGCTTATTTGAAGAACTTTTCGTGTAATGTCCTCAACCGATATTTTAGATTATTTGGTAGAGGGAAAAAGGGATGTCTGCTCTTCTTCTACCCGTAGTAGCCATACGCATTGATTTCGTTCCTGATAAATCTTTTACGCAAAATATGAAGTTTACTAGTCCAATCTTTGAAACTATTCGACATGTTCCTTTTTGATGTTTTGCCTTCTTTTTTTTTTGTTTATCTAATCCTCAAAAGATGTTTTTTTGCACATTCCGAAAAAGTTAAAATGTTAATAGAAATTTTTTGGCATTCTAAATTGATTTAAATAATCAAAATATCATTCATCTAATGAAGTGATACTTCCAAGAGGTTACATATTAAAGAATCAGGAATTATATCTCTTCAAATAATGACCGAAATTAAGAAATAATGATATTTCTGTGGATGATCAGTTTTATTGAACAAAAACTTAGGCAAAAATAGAATAGAATAATTGCAGATATGAAACATTTATTTATGTTTGTAGACAAGTTGTATTCTAAAATGAATTTATTCTTTGAAACTTGGAAAACAATGCAAAAAACAGTATAGAAAAACTCTTAAGAAAATACTAAGAAGATGTAGTTGTAGCTGAAAGAAACACTTATATTCCAGTAGTTTCTCACTCTTTTAATTGCAAATCAATCATATTAAAGTGCTTCTTCAGATTATGAACACACTTTAATTGTATCTCTATTCAATTTAATAGTTCTCTTGAATTTTTCGTAGCACAATCCATGGACAATTCAATGATAAAATTCAGAGAAATATCAAAACTAATTATTAAGGAGAACCTCAATATTTCTACTTTAAGTTTCAAAATAAAATTCAAATGCCACTCTTTATAATGAATTACAGGATATGGAAAAAATTCATTTGCATTCATTTTTTATTTTACTTATTTGCTTTGAGCAAACATTCAAACAATAACCGAAGACAAAATTTGTCTTTGATTTTCAGAATAAAAAATAGATTATAATTATCCATAGCCATTTGTGTTTGAATTAATCCAGTCTTATAACTTCTATATTTCATTTGGGTATTGATGAGATGTAAGATTTTTAACTTAATATCATCCTTCATCGCTTTTTATTAATAAAAAAAAAAGGTAGTTATTATTGACACAACAAAAAAAAAAAAATCAATGGTTAACAATTTGAAAAAATACATAAGACTGTTTTAGATAAGTGACTTGTTAGCAGTACTAAAAGACTCAAGTGTCATGCAAGTCGAAACAAAAAAATATCGTCGTCGTTCAATTATACGTGAATTTTGTTTGAATACATTCACTCCTGCTTTACCTGATATTGCTCGAAGTGAAAGTATACATAATCGACTCTTTTGGTTGATTTCATGCATTAGTTTTATTTTGATTATGATCTATTTTATTGTGCAAGCAATTTTAGCTTATTTCGAATATTCAACACAAATCGATATAAGCTATGTTAGTGAATGGCCACAATATTTTCTAGTTGAAAATAACACACAAACAGCGGTACTTGGTGTAGTGGAAATTCTTTCAAATATCGGAGGTCAAATTAGTTTATGGATCGGTATTAGTTTTATTTTAATAATGAAAGTGATCAAAATGTTTTATCGACTAATTCATTATCAATGCTTTTTAATTGTACCTACATTAAAAAAGTGAAAAAAAAAAATAATGATAAAATAAACATTGATTTTCATTTTGCATCAGAAATAAACATAATGAGAAAAGAAAATTTATTTTCAACTCTAAAACAAAACTATCAAGAACAGATCATAGATCATACATTGACAATTATTGAGTCGATCGAACGTATAAGTTTTCTTGACTATTTCCTAATATTACAAGTCAAGAAGAGTAGAATAGAAGACAATGTAAATAATATGAGTATATAAAGTTCTATGTTATCAGAATAATTGAATAGTTGAAGTAAATTTTCAATAATTGGTTTCAATTTTCAGGTTTGACATGTATGCAACGAGAAGAAGTAAAGCCGCAGCAATATCAAATGATGAAATAATTTCAAACTAAGATCATTTTTATTTAAAAGAATAAAAATATGGAAGACATTGATTGACAAACGAAAGAAACAATCAAAAATATAAATGACTAGAGAAATGTTCGATTGAAATATTTATATGCTGAATGACTATTTATTACGAGATGTTGCCAAATATGTAAAAGACGATTGATTGATAATGGCATATGACCAAATGCAAGTGAAGAAAGACCAAATGGTGAAAGAAAACGTTGTTCAACTAAATCAATATTAACAACAAATAAAGAATTAATATATAAATATTTAACATAAATAGATGATCGAATTGCCTTTGGCAAAAGACCAGTAATATAATAATCATCAATCCAAAAGAAAGGTATATATTGTGTTGCTTTAAAAAGTGGTCGAATTAAATCTTGTGTTATAAAATATGCTGAACCCGAACAATAAGGTTCAAAATGTTCATATGGATATTCATCAGATGAAACAAACCATTTTGATGATGGATCTCGTGTAACACGCATTCGTGTCCATACAAGACATGCTATCGTTGAATGCCATGCTTCAGTTGGATAAATATATGTTAAAGTATAAAGATGATTTAATATAGAAAACATATTTATTAACATATCATCATCAGTTTTTAATATATATGATACTTGATTACAATGACGTGATATCCAATTAAGTGCCATTATACCTTTATATGTTAAATTTCGATAAGTATCAATAAATGTTTGTTGTACAATATCACGATAAGTATCAAATTCAAATTGTGTTTGTTTCATTAATTCTATATTATGACTTGAACCAAGCATAAATAAAACACGTATATGTTTTCCAAATATTGAACGTGATGCCCATGTTAAACGTATTGATTCTCGACGATGACGATTTTCTATAGCTGAATGAACATAAACAATTAATAGTAATGGTTCATCTGTGAAACATATATCATCTCCAGGTTCTAATATATAATCAAAATGTTTTGCTACTGGATTAGCTCTATATATTTGAGGACTTGTTTGATTTACTTGATAACTTGTTAATAAAATCCATACAATGAAAAAAATAACTAATAACGAGCCGTAAACTGCTCGATAACGAATACCCATAAGTCATCTATAAAAGAAAATAGCTTAATATATATCTAGATAAAACAAGATTAGAAAAGCTTTTTTTGATATTTATTATTAAGTATAAAATTCATACTAGATGATGATGATGAAGACATAAATAATTGTTTTATAATACCACATACTTTTCGAGATGTTGTTAGTGATTGATTTTCGGACACTAGTTCTAACTTGTTTAGAAGAATCAATACAAAGATGACGCCGATCTTCTTAAAGGATTTAAATAAAATATTGTTAAATTTTGTTTTTCATGCGAATTGTATTTGTATTGGATTTAGATAAATATTTCTGTACTTCGCTTACAAAATGTCTTAAAAGATAATTACAACAAGATACACGATTGACTATTTGAGATAGATGAACAGTGATCGATTAGATTGATTGATTATCATCAACGGAAATATTATATACTTAAACAAAAAAAAATCTTTGATCTCGGTTACGATCTAGTATCGACACTCGAATATCTAACCAACTGACATCGATAAAATATACACAGTAAACTGTTGAAGACAAACAAATCAAGGTCAAGCTACTCAAAATATGAAAAATACTAGTTATGTTGTTTCTGATCTTTACGCAAACACCATACACTTATCAACAGTAGATATTTTATGGACAACGAACTAAAAAGAGTGTTGAAGTATATAGATCTGTGCGTTGTTTTAATTCGGACTTATATCAGTTGATATTCTAAGTCTACTGGACCACACTCTGAGTCATAAGCTCAAACAAATCTTCTAAAAACAGGACGTTAGACGAAGTTGTAGTAAATGTCTGTATAGCAGAGCGATATTTGACTTCATTTTCCAAATATTTATTTTTCGGAGTTTCAAGCTCTATCGACAAACATATATCCTGAATAAAATGTGCTAGGAATGGATGAGAACGTATTTTATTAACTCACTACAAACGGTAACAGAGATTGCTAATATATCATCAAAGACTTTATATCAATAATATCTTATTATACTCTATTCACTATTTCCTTATTGAGTTTATATACGATGAAGAAATGTGTCTTAAAATAGATAGAACAAAATCTATTCTAGTGTAATTAACAAGAGAAGCTACATCATATTTTACATTTTAATTCCACATGATTTGTGCTAATAAATTTTCTTATTGTAAAAAACAAATTCTTTTAGTCGGAAATATATTTTGAAAAGTAATTCCTTTTGACAAAGTTACAAAAATCTTACATAGAATAGAAGAACGAAGACAACGAACAAATCGTTAAATATCACGCACCATTATTTTTGATGATATAGTATTATACTCAATAGATTCTTCAATTATTTCTTTTTGATCATGAAGTTATATTGGATCTATTGAATTCATGAGAAATCTGTATCATTGATTTTAACATTAATTATTTTACAATTTTTTGTTAATTCAATAGATTTCATTGTAAATATATTTATCGACATTTTAATGATGTTCGATTTTGAAATAGAAAATAGATCAGTCATTTTTTTTTTGTTGTTGTTCCGAATCAATATATATGATGTTCTTTTATTTGGGAAATTTTTTCTTCTCATCAGAAGAAAAAAAACCAACCAGTTGTTGAACATGAGAAAATGATTATGTTGGCTTGATTGGACAAACATAATTGACAAATCAAATATGAATGATAAGCGATGTCGCTCAGAAAAAAATAATTGATTTATCAATATTAAATTATTTTTAACATAAAACAAATAGTACATTTTTTTTTTGCATATATTTAAAAAAAAAATTCTCTTTTCTATAGATTCAATCAACGATAGATAATCGAATCAAAAATACTAATTGAATTTACTCTTTCAATTGATGATGTATACACACACAGAAATAGTAATATTTGTATTTGTTTTCAACAAACCAAACTGCACATTTTAGAAGTGTAAACATTTATATACTGGTTTACTATCTAGATCAATAATGATCTTATGTTTATAATAGTAACATATTTGTTTGAATTTTCATCATATTTTATAAGATATATTAGATAAAATGTCTTCGATTTATTTAATAAGATATTCTTGATGACAACAATCTTTGATACATCATTTGCTAATCTTTTCCATAGAGTATTCAATGAATTATGATGTCCTACAATAATAGATATTTTTGTAAAATCTGCTTTATTTTTATTAACACGTAAACACCTTATATATTCATTTCATATTGAAGAAAAAATCAAAAATGATTTCAATGAATATTTTGATGATGAATAAGAACACATACTTGATATAGCTCAATAATCAGTAATCGAACAGATATTGAATAAACTTTGAATCTCTTTTATTAATAAATAATCGTAAAAAATTTTCTGTTATCATTACAAATACTTATATTATTAATGAACGTATGAAGAATTTTTACATTAGTATGAATCATTGGATGTGATCAAAGAAGTTTTATTAATCTATCTTCATTATACAGATTGAAAATACTAACAAGAACCTTAAAAACATTGTTTATCTCATTAAATTGCTGATCATACATTTTAAACAAAAGAAAGTCAATGTTATATTTTCTTTATATTGACAATGATTTTATGAAAATTGCGTAGATGTATAAATAGGTAATAACACATCTATATATTTATTTATGTTAATATTATTAGGATAAAAAATACAAGAAAAAATATTATAATTGATACTGTTCTAGCTTTTATTCCTGAAATTTATAATATTGATTAAATTTGAAAGTACTAAACCGAGGGGACACTATTTATCTATTGATGAAATAAAAACAAAAAGTTCACTTTCGATCACTGATAATATTCTAGAAAAATTCATCTGACATTTATGTGCGTAGAAGATTAAATTCATTTAGACATTTATATCTTGTGAGTGTTGAAATGTCAAAAAAATATGTTCTAATGATGTTAATTCAACAGTATAATTTGATAATATTATATTTTGTTCAACAAGTTGTTCTAATAATGTAAATAAATATGCTAAACTATCTTTTGGATATATATATTCATTGCTATTTTCAATACGTTCAAGTAATGGTATTTGAAATGATGATTGAAGTAATATTAAACGTATACGATAATTCATACCGTATTTATTTTTAAGATGTTCAGGTGAACCTAAACATTTTGCATTACCACGAACAAGTATTGTTAAACGATCACATAATTGTTCACATTCAAGCATTGAATGTGAAGCAAATATAATTGATGTATTAATAGGACGATTTTGTAATATAAGACGTATATGATTACGTAATAATGGATCAATTTTAGCTGTTGGTTCATCAAGTAAAAGAAGTGTTGGTGATCCAATTAAACATAATGCTAAATGAAGACGACGACGTGTTCCACCACTTAAATGTGATACTAAATGATGAGAATATTTTTCTAATTGAAATTGTAATAAAATTAAATTATTTAATAATAATGGATTAAGACCATGAATACGACATATATAATTAATAGATTGTAGAACAGTTAAAGCTGAAAAATTAATATCATTTTGTGGACAATAACCAATTGATTCATTTTTATTTTTATAAATATAACCACTACTTGG